AACCAGCTGCTTCCACATCAACATGATGGTTCATCAGGAGTCTTGTGTCACCTGATGGATGGAAGTCCACTATTTGCTCTCTTTTAGCTCTGCTTTTGGTCTCCACCACCTCCTGGGAGGAATATATGTATCTTCAGCTGCTAAATGCTCCTCTATGTTCCCCAGCTGGTCTCTCAGTTTGTCTGCTGTTTGCTGCTCTGCAGGTAGTGAACTGTGGCTTCATCACAGCCTGTTGGATGAAAATAGCAGCTGCTGGAAACACTGAAACTGAACCAAACAGGAAATGAGCTGCACAACCAAAACTAGGAGCTAAAGTAGGCTAACCAGCTGAGTAGAGCTACAGAGATGGACTATTGTCAGTGGGTTCATCTCCACCACACAGTCAGCTGATCCGTGGTCAGTAGAAGTAATGACTGTTGGATGTTTTGGTCCTGACAAGCGACCTCTTGTGTTTGTGTAATAATGACTGTTGTCTCTCTGAAGTAAAGGAGAAAGTAGCATGAAATCACTACAGCACCACAAACCCTCTGATGGAGGAGGTCGGGGTGGTTGGAAGTACAAAGGGTCTGACTGTAACACTGCTGTTCACATCCCGTCTCCTAGCACCAGTAAACACTGGTTTCTATCACCTGTAGTCTGGAGGTGAAGATGTTACAGCTCAGGTGGGTCTGCAGCCACAGATCACTGCCCGAGTCCCCTTACAGCTTTGGTCCAGTCCTAAACAAACCTGGACTCTGACACACCAGGTCCACAACAGCTGTTGGTTCTTCACTCTGCCCAACTGTCACCTGTAGTCTACTCTTATCATCCAGGAAACTGGCTCTCAGTTCAAAGCAAACTACTTTTAAACACCAAACAATCTTACTGTGATGATCCATCGAGACTGTTTGAACGGTCTGTTTATTTATTTTTTCTTTTGTTTGTCTTTTAATAACAATGTCTGGACTAAAGGACAACACACACTGGAGGCAGATGACGACCATCTAAACATCCAAGTGTTGTTTGATAAGAGCCCACAAACCTGCAGCATGACGACGTTGACTCATATGAACCCACCATGATGCCGTCAACGTGTCAGGAGACACCACTGTCTTCTCTTATAACGTGGAAACAAGACAAGGGTCCAGAGAAACAAGCCTTTCATCACCTTCCTCCCTGTTTAGGCTCATCCTGGCTACTGTTCCTCACTACTTCTGTCTGTATTGATGGTCTCATGTGGGACACAAACTGTTTGATGAGTCTCTGGTAGTTTGAGGTCAGCTTGGTGTGTCAGGGTCATATTAACCAGGCTGACAGTGGGACAGAGAAAAGGTTTCCAGCTCTGCCTCCTCTACCAGACTGATGGTCTGTGGCTGCAGCCTCTTCATACCTGAGAGTCTCCAGTCTCCAGTGTGGATCCTCTAGTCCAGCAGACAGCAGCTTCACTCCCGAGTCTCCTGGATGATTGTAGCTCAGGTCCAGCTCTCTCAGATGGGAGGGGTTGGAGCTCAGAGCTGAGGCCAGAGAAGCACAGCCTTCCTCTGTGATCAGACAGCCTGACAGCCTGCAGACACACAAAACAACACACATGAGGGATCTGTAAAGGCTGGAAGGTCACTGCAGTACTGAGATGTCAGCTACTGAGGGGGTCACATTAATATTCTAACACTTACTGACAGTCACAACCAAACACCCACTAATGTACATCAACAATCCGATACAACACGTTAAGGAGAATATTTTCAAAATACATATTTGATGTAAGCAGAAAGAATATTATGAAAGTCAGAAATGTATCATTGATGTAAAAAAAGAAACCAAGTGATCATTAATTGAATCCCGACCTGAGAGTCTCCAGGTCACAGTGTGGACTCTTCAGTCCAGCAGACAAAAGCTTCACTCCTGAATCCTGCAGGTGGTTGTTACTCAGATCCAGCTCTCTCAGACTAGAGGACTGGGAGCTGAGAACTGAGGACAGAGCTCCACAGCTTCTCTCTGAGAGGTTACAGCCACTCAGTCTGAGGAGACAACAATCAATAAGAATTTAAACATTTAAGTTAAAATGACATCCTCCTTGATAAGGAGTTTTAACTGAAATAAAACTAGTAAGAGCAAAACAAATGTGTTCAGGTACTGTCTACAATTTTTTGTGTTCTACTTTAAACAAGAGGAAAACATCAGTTAAATGTGCTTTACTGTTTACGGGAAATATTGTAGTATCACTATTGGGATGAGGCAGGGATATTTAATCTTATTTATAGGTAAATTCAAAGTTAGGCTTCTCTATCCTCTACCTGACTTTTTAAAGAAATATAAGAGACAGAAAAAAGTGAGTTTAAATGAGAAATGAATCTTCTTCTTCTGATTTCATGGTTTTAAAGTTCTGAATTAGAAATAAACAACCATCAATCGCTTAGCAGATCATCACTGTAGAGACACACATTAAAGTCTTTAGTCTCTTTCCCACCTCTGATTTTCTCCTTTTCATTAATTATTTATATAAAACTGCATCGCTGCCGTTAGTTGTCTGGTACCATAGTTCTCGTTTATTTCTTGATGAAAAAAATGTTCATGAAATTCGCAATCTATGAAACAAATTAATATATTGAGGAAGACGGATCCTTTTTACACTGTATGGATCTGATAGTTTAGAGACACATTTAAATCATTGAAGACAAACTGACTTAATCTGACCTGAGAGTCTCCAGGTCACAGTGTGGACTCTTCAGTCCTGCAGACAAAAGCTTCACTCCTGAATCCTGCAGGTGGTTGTTACTCAGATCCAGCTCTCTCAGAATAGAGGACTGGGAGCTGAGAACTGAGGACAGAGCTTCACAGCTTCTCTCTGAGAGGTTACAGTCACTCAGTCTGAAGAAACAATGATAAAGAAAAAGTGAATAAGTAGAAAAGATGGCAGGATATTTAAGTCCTGATGTATGAATCTAACTCTCTGTACTTACAGAGCTTTGTTGGAGGCTTTGACCACTGGCAGCAGCCTCAGAAGAGCCTCCTCTGAAGCAGAGTATTTCTTCAGGTCAAACACCTCCAGATCTTCTTCTGATGACAGTAAGATGAAGACCAGAGCTGACCACTGAGCAGGAGACAGTTTATCTGTGGAGAGACGTCCTGAACTAATGGACTGTTGGATCTCCTCCACTAGAGAACAATCATTCAGTTCATTCAGACAGTGGAACAGATTGATACTTTTCTCTGGAGACACATTCTCACTGATCTTCTCCTTGATGTACTGGACTGTTCTCAGATTGGTCTGTGAGCGACTTCCTGTCTGTGTCATCAGACCTCGTAGGAGCGTCTGATTGGTCTCCAGGGAAAGACCCAGGAGGAAGCGGAGGAACAAGTCCAGGTGTCCATTAGGACTCAGTAAGGCCTTGTCCACAGCACTCTGGTAGAGAAACATTGGTTGAGTTTGGTCTCCAAAGACTTTAGACAACATGGGGGTTGTTGGTTCTTCGGACATCAGATTGACAACAGAGCTGAAGAAGGTCAGATGGACATGAAGAGCAGCCAGAAACTCCTGAACACTCAGATGGACGAAGCAGAACACCTTGTCCTGGTACAGTCCTCTCTCCTCTCTAAAGATCTGAGTGAACACTCCTGAGTACACTGAGGCTGCTCTGATATCGATACCACACTCTGTCAGGTCGGATTCATAGAAGATCAGGTTGCCTTTCAGCAGCTGATCAAAGGCCAGTTTTCCCAGAGACTCGATCATCTTCCTGCTCTCTGGACTCCAGTGTGGATCCGTCTCAGCTCCTCCATCGTACTTGACCTTCTTTACTTTGGACTGAACCACCAGGAAGTGGATGTAAATCTCAGTCAGGGTCTTGGGCAGCTCTCCTCTCTCGCTGGTCTTCAACACCTCCTCCAGAACTGTAGCAGTGATCCAACAGAAAACTGGGATGTGGCACATGATGTGGAGGCTTCGCGAGGTCTTGATGTGAGAGATGATCCTGCTTGCCTGCTTCTTATCTCTGAACCTCTTCATGAAGTACTCCTCCTTCTGGGGGTCAGTGTACCCTCTGACCTCTGTCACCATGCCAACACACTCAGGAGGGATGCGATTGGCTGCTGCAGCCCGTGTGGTTATCCAGAGGCGAGCAGAGGGAAGCAGCTTCCCCCTGATGAGGTTTGTGAGGAGCACATCCACTGAGGCCGACTCTGTGATATCAGTCAGGACCTCATTGTTGTGGAAGTCCAGAGGAAGTCGACACTCATCCAGACCGTCAAAGATGAACACAAGCTGGAACTCTTCAAACCTGCAGATTCCTGCTGCTTTGGTTTCACTGAAGAAGTGATGAACAAGTCCCACCAAGCTGTACTTCTTCTCTCTCAGCACATTCAGCTCTCTGAAGGTGAATGGAAATGTGAACTGTATGTCCTGGTGGTGTTTGTCTTCAGTCCAGTCCAGAGTGAACTTCTGTGTTAAGACTGTTTTCCCAATGCCAGCCACTCCCTTAGTCATCACTGTTCTGATTGGTTCCTCTCCTCCAGCTGAGGATTTGAAGAGGTCTTCTTGTCTGATGGTTGTTTCTGGTCTGGCTGGTCTTCTGGATGCTGTTTCAATCTGTCTGACCTCATGTTCTTGATTGACCTCTGCGGTCCCTCCCTCTGTGATGTAGAGCTCTGTGTAGATCTCATTCAGAAGGGTTGGGTTTCCTGCTTTAGCGATCCCCTCAAACACACACTGGAACTTCTTCTTCAGGTTGGATTTGAGTTCACGCTGACAAACTGCAGCAAGAATTCCTGAATGAAAACAATAAAGAAGATCAATGAGTTAAAGAATATATTTAAACATGTCCTTTCCTCAAAGAATGGTTCTGAATATATTCTGTCCACCTTTGAGAAATACGTGAAGGTCTCATTTATCAACATGGTAAGTCTTTAGAGAAATTCTTCTTACTGCTCTGCAGATGGTGAGCCAGCTCCTCCTGCTTCATTCTCCTCAGGAAGTGCACTGAGATCTTCACAAATGCCTCTCTGCTCCTCCTCTGCTCTTCATCCAGCACCTCCTCATCCTCCCTCTGACTCTCTAAGCATTCTGGGTAATCTGAACTCACAACCTGCTGGATCTTCTTCAGCTCCTTCTTCACAAAAGTGAGGATGTTCTCCTCCAGCAGCTGGAACAGAATATTCTATGAATGACACAAACTAAAACCATGGAAGCCACCATCAGGTCCATGTTGGACAGACTGACAATCCACTGGTCTACAAAGTGCAGCGTGGAGATGATGGTGAACTGAGAGATGTAAAAGTAGTTGTACATGTACACACCATGAGATGGAGTCCAGGTGGTGTTTGATGCTGCTGGGCAGA